AAATCTTGAGCTAGTTGGTAAATGTGAGACAGGATGTTAGTATGATATGTTTGTTACTACTGAAAATTTCTTTTTAATATCAAGGTATTTTTTTTTTCAACGTTTTATTTATTTTTGGGACAGAGAGAGACAGAGCATGAACGGGGGAGGAGCAGAGAGAGAGGGAGACACAGAATCGGAAACAGGCTCCAGGCTCTGAGCCATCAGCCCAGAGCCCGACGCGGGGCTCGAACTCACGGATCGTGAGATCGCGACCTGGCTGAAGTCGGACGCTTAACCGACTGCGCCACCCAGGCGCCCCTGAAAATTTCTTTTTAAAAAAGATTTTAAGTAGTCTTGATACCCAACATGGGGCTTGAACTTATGAGATCAAGAGTCGTATGCTCCACCAACTGAGCCAGCCAGGTGCCCCTCAAAAATTTTCTCTCTCAAATGCACACTTATCTTCAATAAAGGTCCACGAAGGCTAACCTACCTGAGGAGTAGTGTCAAGAACTTTAAGGTGATATGCCATACCTGCAGCGGACTGAAGATAAAGCAAGTAAGGCAAAAATGATCAGTAGATCTAAGCAAAAAATAAATGGGCACTTATTTTACTATTCTTGCAACTTTTCAGAGGTTTCTAATGTTTCAAAGCAAAAAGCTAGATGAAAAAATTTATAAGTCTGAAAATTTCAAGTTACTTAAATTTTTTTTTAATGTTTATTCATTTTTGAGAGACACAGCACAAGCAGGGGTGAAGAGAGGGAGACACAGAATCCAAAGCAGGCTCCAAGCTGTCATCACAGAGCCCGACGCGGGGCTCGAAATCACAAACTGTGAGATCATGACCTGAGCTGAAAGTCAGATGCTTAACTGACTGAGCCACCCAGGTGCCCCCTCAAGATACTTTATGTCAATTTCCAAAGTTTCATATTCCCTTATCTCATTCTGAGATGGCAAGGCTGCCTCTCAGACAGAAAAAGGTAACAGATTAAAGGCATAAAGAACCACCCACCCCAACTTCTCAGAGAAAAGATATCTCATTTCTCTGCCCCCTTCTAAGGGTTTCTGCCTAAAAAGTAAGACCAAGCTACAGAAGACAGTAACTGGAAGTCGACAGCAGTGTTTAAGGCTCTTGAGAGAGGGATTTTTGTTTGTATGGTTATACTAATGCCAACCCGAACATGTAATTTTCTCCTATTAAGTCCACTGTGAACTGACTCACCAAAGTCTATCAGACATGATAATCTTATGCATCTCCACTACCCTTTCCCTCAAATCTTGGTATTATAAACCAGGTACCTCATGGTTAAATAACAGAAATTCTCAACACTGAATCATCCTAATTTACCTACTGAACAGAGATGATTAATGTCACCAAGTGGGTATTTTACAAATACCCTGCTCAAAAATCCTCACAACAATCCTAGCATGTCTCAATTTTGTAGATCACAACCAACATTCAACAACCAACCAGCTTGCCCAAGGTCACACATAAGCGGCAGGCTAAAATGCAAACCCGAGTTTGTCTATCTCCAAAGCCCATGTTTTTGAGACATTGTCATCTCCACCCCACTTAACTGAGTAACCTACTTCCATTCCTATGAACCAAACTGTCTTTCCCTGGAGACCCCAACCCAATTGAGTTTCAGTGTCAAGAACATTTAATACAAAGTTTACAAGGTTTTTCAATATATAAAGTGAAAATATTAGTCATTATTATTAAGCCTCAGATGACAGGACTTCTCACACTCAAGTTTTTCCTGAAGGCTGTTAGATTCCTCTTTATTGAATGATTTATGAAGGGAATGGAAATATAGACTTTAGATTCCACAATGACGGGAGGATCCACAAAAACAGCTTCCTGAAGGTAGGTTTTTCAATGTTAGCAGGTTAGGGGAAGACCTGTGGAGGACCACTTAGGAGAAATGACTACATGCTAAGAATAATGAAAAAACAACATAAAAGCTGGCCTGCTTCAGGTCAAGCAGAACTTTAACACTCATACTAGCCTAGCTGAGATTTACCTGTGCCCCTAGCAAAGGTGAAAGAAATGACTTAAGAACTATTTCATCACCTCTGAAGTAGCCAAAAATAACTCTGAATATGGGTACGGAATTTAGAGTCAATGACAGAAAAACAGGTAATATCCTCCATAATAAAACAAAATCAGTTTCTTGCATTCAGTGAATTTGAAACCTTTCTCCCTCAGAAAGCGCTACTCTTGCTCAGTAAGTTCACTTACTGTCATCCTTCCTGTCCATTCAAATCTACAGAACATGCAGTCAAGGGCCTGTGGTCAAGCAAGGCAGACCTAGAGCCTTATTCTACAGCCAAACAGGAACGACATACGCAGGCAGTTCTACAACCCCCCAGTGATTAAGAACTTCACAATACCTCCTCTTCATTTTTACAGGGCAAGCCCTGGGGAAAAGAGGGATATTCTCTCTTCTTAAAAAAAACAAAGTTTATTTAGAGAGAGTGAGGGAGCGCACACATGGGCAGTGGCAGAGAAAGAGAGAGAGAATCCCAAGCAGGGTTCTCGAAGGGGCTCAATCTCACAAACCAACCCTGAGATCATGACCTGAGCCGAAATCAAGAGTTAGTTAGTTGCTTAACCAATGGAGCCACCCAGGTGCCCCAAACAGGGATATTTTCTAAACCACACCTCTTCAAAGACATCTAACACACAAATTCAAGAAGTGGCTGGGAATAATCATGTCTACGTAACATTACTACAAAAGAACTTCAAGAGTGGAAAAACCTCATTTCCTAAAAAGTCTCCCACTATCAGTCAGGTTTCACTTTGGTTAAGCTCATGAAATAATGTGAAAGAACCTAGGACATAATGCCTGGCTATGGAAGGAATGCAACAAATGTCAAAAATATGAGTCCTGGTTTCTGAGTCAGTTACTCAAAGCCGTAAATGTCACCATTTAGAGAAGTCAAAAGGCTGTATTCTGGTTAAGGAAAATTACTTCCGTCAGTGTGCCATGTGGTCACTGGTGCCTACAAATAGCAAACTTTAAACTGGAAGCAGTTCATTAGGATCTCATTTATTTCTTTAAACTGAGATTAAAGAGTTTTTATCTCAAAATGGTGGAACCATATATTCACTTGTTTTTTCTACCTTATGAGCCCATTAAAATATGACATTTATTTACATGAATCTAAAACAAAATACCATAGATTGGACTGAATATGTTAATTTCAAATACTTTAAGGCAACCAACCCAATTTTTTAAAAAGTCCTGTTTTCTTAAACTTTAAAAAAATAACATGCTTGGACTATCCAATGCCATTCCTATAAAATCCTCAGGAAAATTTATCTACAGTGTTAGGATAGCGGTTATTCTTGGGAATGAAGGCAGTGACTAAAAGCACTTAGGTTTCTTCTGTAGCAGCAATGTTTAGTTTCTTGAACTTGCTGTTGATTACACAGGCTGGTTTCATTGTGTGAACACCTAAAATCCGTATTTCTAAGTATGCTTCACCTACAAAAATATATATGAACTTGCTTATTGGACAGGATGTGAAAACCACGACGTTCAAGCCACCAATATTAAAAGTAAAAATTTTAAAGGCCACAAAGTCCATTTCATTTTAGCTGTCTCAAATAAGTAGGCAAGCTCTCACAGGATTTTGGAGCTGGCAGCTGATTTGATCAGCATATAGAAAGGACCGCCATCAGAGAGAGGAAGACACAATCCTTACAGCCCTAATAAGCGTATCTAAAGCATGAGGTCACTGTGTCTAGCTGCTTTGGGGCTAGAGAAAAACCAAACATACAACACCTATCCTAAGGGTTATCTAAACACAGTTGTAAGCAGACCATACCTTATTTGCATCGCCTGAACTCTGAGGCCGCTGTAATCAACCTCTTTTTGTTCAAATTCTTTCCACTCATCTTCATCCTGTAAAACACACACCATTGGATCAAGCAAAGCTATTTGTTAAAATACAACAAAGGCAAATATCAGACTATGAAAAGGGGATCAAATATCTGGAACCTAAAGTATAGACTCATTTTCTGGCCAAAGCCCTTACTTGATCCCGGGGCCGGAGGGATCGGAGGGAGGGAGGACTGGAGGACAAACTAGGCTAGAGGACAAACGTGCCCAAGCAGTCAAATTTCTTTTACCTCCACCAGTTCCTTCAAGAGAGCGGTTACTTTAAAAGCAACCAGGTAAAGTGGAATGAAAAAGTCAATAGTAACCCCACAACTAAATGTCTACCTCAATGTAGTCATGAGACTTATTCTGGTACAGGCTTAGAGGCCAAGCCCTGCCAGTTCGAGCTGCCACAAATGCGATTGTTAGAAAATTCAGCTCAGACAACTGGGCTAAAGTCGGAACACCAAATTACTCAAGAGTCTCAGAGTAGACGTCACCCGATAAATGCTGCTCTAGGCCAGGCACTTCGGCCCCAGACCCATTTCTCCTCGAGGGTGCCGCTGTCCGGGTCTCGGTCCCAGCCAGCGACACAAGGCGGAGGGGCGAGAGCGGGCTGGGGGCGAGGGTAGAGTCCTGTGGCAAGAGGGGAGCCGGCCTGGCGTGGGAAGCCC